CGAGATGACAGAACTTGGGAGCTGAGGTGGGACTCCAGCCTGGAAGCCCCATATCCAACCAGAAAGGAGCCTTTTCTATCCTCACCAGCACCTGGTGGGTATGGAGGGTGAGTGTGGCCAGCCCAGCTGCCAATGTGAATATTAGCTGGTGTGAACTAATTTAATGGTGCTGATACAGGCTGGGCTGCCTGGGGCCCCTGTGCCCCACCCAGCCCTCCCCCCCACACTCCGCCCCCGCTGATAACATCGAGGCTGAGCTGTCCCGCTTTGGCTCCCTACTCTCAGGTGATGAAATCCCTGCTCAGTCGGGCTGGCTAGGACTGCAGTTACCAAATTGCTGTAATTGAGATTAATTTGGGCGCCCGATTGGGTCAACCCTTGCAGGCACCCATTAATTAGTGGAGGAGGCTCAAAGCCCCAACAGCTGGGCCCTGCAGCCTGCAGGGACTGGGGGCATTGTAGAAGGGGTCCTGAGAGAGGCCCAGGTGAGTCTGTGGCCAGGAGGAGAGCACACACTTGACAGAGATCCCCCCTACAGTCCCATCACCCCCTCAGCCCATGAGGGGAGTAAGCAGTGGACCTTCTATTCAGGTCCAAAGACAACTCTGGGTCTCCAAGGGTTAAAGGGCTCATTACAAAAGTGAGGAGAAGAGGAGAGGAGGGGGCTGGAAGCTCTTTGGACATCAAACAACTCTTGCAAAACTTGTAGATGAGTTAAGTGCAAATGAATTTGAAGCAGACAATGAGGTTCCCTTTAGACACCTGGGCAGAAAAATGAAGGGGAAAGTGCCCCAGGCACAGCTCATTTGGGGATTTTTTTTTTTTTTCCCCTGAATCCAAAACACACAGGGAAAAACAAACCCAGCCGTCTACACTGGGTGCCAGAGGCAGGCTGGCGCGCCCTGACTCAGTGCTGGGCTGGTGATGAGTTGGGCACACACGTGAGGCCTGGGCACCCAAATGAGACCCAGGTATGTAGGTAGGGAACAGCCGGAAGTGTGGCTGGGTACCATGTGTGACAGTCACATCAGCCTGGGCTGGGCGGGTCCCACTCAGGTGGGAGGAGGCGAGCAGGCAGGAGGCAGGCACACCCAATGGGGCAACTGGAAGGAGGCCAGACAGGCAGGGCAGGGCCCATCCAGAGTGAGGGCAGAGGACTAACCCCCAGGGTGGCAACAGGCAGGGACCCTAGCATGGCCTGTTCACATGAATGCCCAGATGGGGCCCTCCTGGTTGCCAGACAGGTGAGGTGTATATGTGTGGAGGTGATGGGGATGGGGGTTCCCTGGGCCCCAACTGCCCCGCCCCACTCACCCGACTGCTCTGGTTAATTGCCCGGGTGTGAATCTCAGAGAGGGACAAAAGCAGGTTCTGAGTCACTTGGAACTGGCCCCTGCTTCCACCCACTCTCGAGACTTCCCTTGTCCTTGTCCCCACCCTCTCCCAGAACCCTGAGGGAGGTTGTGAGGTGTCCCACCGCTGGCCATGCCCTGGGCCCAGGCGTGTGACCTCCCTGGGGCCCTAATGGAGGGCTTGCCTCCTCAGTGTGGTACATTTGCAATTCATGGCTGCAGTGCAGAGATTGCATTAGGGCCAGCTGTCACTCCTGATGAATGTGGCTTGTTTTCCAGAAAAAAATGGGCCCTGGATGCACAGTGACAGGGCTGTGGGAGGCACCCAGCCCTTCCAGGGCCTAAGGACCAGGGCATGGTCTCGCCCTCAGAGGATTCTCAGCAGCTTCAGAATCTGACTTCTCCCAGAGGTTCTCAGGGATCCCCCACTGGAAAAACGTTCACAGCCCTTTCCTGTGCACAAAGCCCCTCACATTCCATGCCCCACAGGGTTCTCCCAATAGTCCTGTGGGAAGAATTCGACTGCAGCTGCTCCACTTTGCAGATTAGAAAACTGAGGTGTGTAGGAAGAGGGAGGGCTGATGAAAGAGTGTTGGCTGGAATTGAGTTGGACAGTGACCCAGGGGTCCACTATGAGCCTTGGTGTCACAGTGGTTAAGCACTTGACTACTAACTGAAAGATCTGCTTCCATAAAGAGTGAGCCTCAGAAACTCAATGGGGAGTTCTACTCTCTCCTATAGGGTGATCCTGAGTCGGAATCAACTAGATGACAATGATTTGGGGGTTTGAGAGGCTTATTGCTTGGTGTTATTTTTTCTTTTTTAATTTGTCAGGGACTTGAAGGTACAGGGGTGTTTCTGAGGGGGAATGTCTGGGGGCTACTAGAGAGGAAGAAGAGTCCCCTGGAGCCTCTAGCGCCCCCATCTACCTCAGTAGTTCAGGGGTAAGGGGGCATCCCACCCAGAGTGTCTAAAACATGGCCTGCTGACTGAATGAGTGAATGAATGAGTTCGTGGCCTTAGCAGGAAACCGTGGAAGCTGTGGGCTGCTGGAGATACTCAACCACAAGGACACACTCAGGCTTCTGATTTTCCCTTGCCTGACCTCACACCTCCAGTGCCCAGGGACTGGGGAGGGTTCTCCTGCTGCCACAATTGATGGGTATGAGAGACTAGCTCCCACCCAGGGACTGTGGATCAGCACTGGATTGTGAACCACAAGGTCAAATCCACCCAGCGCCTCCTCAGAAACCTTACACTGGGTTGCTGTACATCGAAACCAACTTGGCGGCATTTAACAACAAAAACAACAACCACAGACTGGGCTCCATAGCACCCAGCCCACCACCCCAAAACCACCCAGTGAAACTGGGACCAACATAGACCAGTAGAAAGAACATAGCCTTAGCTGGGGCCCCTAGCCTGGCCCCAGATCTGCTATAGATACACTTTCCAAGTGACACTTCTTCATGATAACCCACCGAGATAGGTATTCTCTCTTCCCATTTCACAGATGTGGAAATGGGACTTGGAGATGGATTGGGAATGATGTCCATCTCCCTGGATATGCCTCCCTGCCAGCTCTTCTTTTCTAGGCTTGAAGAGCAGCCAAGTTCCCCCAGCTGCCTCCCGTCCTCAGTTAGGGCTCCTGTTCTGGCATTTTTGTCCAATGAGAAAGTCTCCCAGAATCCCAAGTGTCCCATCTGTCCCAGGGTGATGTCAGGAGCATCAGTGACCCCGGTCATCCATCTCTCATTGTCCTTTAACACTTGAGTTTTCCCAAGCACTTGGCAGGCCCCATTGTCCAGGGACCAGACACGTTTCAGAATCCAGATGTGTGAGGCCTTGCCTCTTCCCCATCTGTGCAGATGCAGGCTCCATCTCCCTGGGATGTGAACAGCTGAACTTTAGCTCTGAAGCAAGAGGAGGCCAAGGCTTAGGGCCAATCTCTTACCCACCCTGTGACTGTACCTTACAAGCGAGGCACAGAGCCAGGCAAAAGTAACATTGGCTGTGGAGTGAACTGTCTCCACAGCTGTGTGCCCACTGCTGGCCCATTCATTCGGAGTTTCAGCTTTCTCTTCTATAAAATGGACATGACCTCATCGTCTAGCACACATGGCTGTGAGGTTTGCCCTATGTGGAAAGCCTCAGGCACACAGTAGGCTTGCTCCATAAAGACTGGGTATATGGTTGGGTGCTCTGAGCCGGTGGTCCCATCCCTCCCTACCCACAGCCCCTGACCCACCTGGCCATCAATCAATGCCACCTTGCCACTTCCAGGCCATCTGTCAGCACCAGCTGCTGCCCATCACTATCAGGGTACCATCCAAGGCCCCATGTGCCCAAGGGTCCTGCCTCTCCCTGCCCTCCCCTCAGACTGCTTCAGTCTATCACCAAGCTCCCAGATGACAGGCCACCCAACTCCCCTGGGTCCAGGGAACCCCTGTATCCTTACCCCCTGGAGCCTCATGTCCGTCCCCCCCCAAGGTCTGGAGCTGAGGGACCAGGCTGGAAGCCCTTGGCCCCCACCCACTCTCCCCTCCCTCCACCGGCTCTTACCACATCCTGCCTCAGCCCTGTGTCTACTTCATCAAGCCAAGGATTGCTTTTTAAATAAATCTAAAAAACTCCACTTCCTCCTTGGCAAGTTCATTTTAAGTCATTTTATCTCTTTCCCCCCTATATTTTTCCCAAATAATGTGATTAAATGACTCAGCGCCGGCTGCCTCTGGCAGGCCTGGCCTCTAATTCAGTTTAAGGACAGCCACCCTTGACCCCACTCCACTCTGCCTAAGAAAACACTTAAGCGATATTCTACCGCTTCCTACAGAGAGGCTGTAGGGGGGTGGGGGCGGCAAGGGTGGGGGGCGG